GCCACACGCGGGCGCCACCGGCCCTCCCGCTTGGGCAGCCCTGGGCGGGCCCGGCCTGCGCCTTACCTGGCAGCAGGAGAACGTGCTGGACACGACCCCGATCAGGACGTTGAGCGCGTCCTTCACCAGCTCACGCTCCCTCAGCTGCACGGGCTGCGGCGTCTGCAGCAGGCCGCCGCCGCCGAGCACCTGCAGCTCCCCCTGGCGCAGCCTGCAGAACCTGTCGAAGGCGCCCCTGCCCGCCTCGGTGAGGTAGGGCTCTTCTCTGTGGCCTGGGGGGCTGCGGGCAGAGCAGAGGCTGCTGCGGGCGCTCGGCGCAGACACCACAGGCGGGCGGGCAGGTGCCCGGGACCACGCCCCACACTTCTGCGAAAGGGCGCGCCCCCCACAGCGCTCTGGGCAAAGGCCCGCCCCAGGCAGGGCGGCCGAGGCGGGCACCGCCACGTACCAGCCAACCTGCTCCCAGCGCCGGCGCCTGCTGGCCTGGTAGGTGAGCGCCGCGTCCCACAGGTCCACGTCCGGGCTCAGGCCCAGCTCGGACTGCGAGTCGGGAGTCAGGTTGGACGCTGACTGGAAGCCCTCGTCCTCCGACTGGTCCACGCTCCGAGGAACCTGCAGGCCACAGGGAAGCAGGAGCCCAGAGTCGCCAGGCTGCCGCTGCTCCGCCGCCCAGGGAAGACCTAGACTGTTCCGTCGGCTGCGGCCCCCGCGGGAAGCGGGGCGCGCGCACCCCGGGTCCTCTGAGAACCAAGCTCCTCACTCAGCTGAGGAACTAACGTCACACTTCACGTAAAGCGCCAGCGGCCTGGAGACCCCGCTCTGGGGGCCCCCCGAGACACGATCACCCTGGACACGGCGGCCATGCTGCGAGCCCTTGGCCGCAGCCGTAGGACGGGAGGACCTGGCCCCAGGAAGGGCGCGGCCGCCGCGGGCAGCTCCCCGCCTCGCTGGGCAGACCGCGGGCGGCACTGGCTCAGGCGGGCGCACCTGGGGCCTGGCCTCAGTGCAACGGGCGGAGGGCGGCGCCAGCCCCCGGTGACTCGGGCGCCCGTGAGCAGCGAAAGGGCAGGGAGGCGTGCCCAACCCAGAGCCCTGGCAGGAGGGCGGACGCCCCACCTTGACGGCCAGTGCCGAGAGGGCCGCGCCGGCGGGCACCGGGGGCAGGTCGAGCCGCACGTCCATGTCCCACGTGCGGCTGTGCACGAGGGCACCAAAGAGCGAGAGCCCGGTGTCCCGGTCGAAGCCGTCGCCGCAGGGGTCGCCCGCGGAGAAGAGCCCCACGGCGGGCAGGCCGGTGCCGGGGGCCGCCTCCATCAGGCGCAGCGTCTTCTGGACCACGTCCCGGCACCGGCCCTCCTCGCGAGCCAGCTGGGCCTGCACGTCCCTCTCCAGCACGCCCAGGCCGGCGCAGTCGTAGCCGCCGTGGGGCACGTCCCTCCCGAGCTCGCGGTGCCAGGCGCGG